CAGGAAACACTAATAAGTCATGCGTATTTCTATTTAAACAAGCCATTTTAGTAATTTCTGATTGGGTATGAAAGCCTCAAGTTGTTTTGAAAAGAAATAGCTATTTGCTGGTGGTAATTTCTTACTCTTCCCACATGTAAATTTAGAAAACTTTGGATTTTTATTTTGCTTCCCAAAAGTAGCATCTGAGTAACAAATTTAAAAGCCTCATTTTTTTTTAGTTCAAAGATGAAAAAAGAGTCAGAAGGAGAAAGTGAGAAAACCCACCCCCACCACCGTATTTCAACTTCTTTTATTTTCCACTGAGAGAAAATTCATTATCTGATCTTTGATTTCATTTATTTCAGTGCCTGTGCTGTGCACTTAGTGGAGCTGGCTTCTACCGAGATTATATTCTGACAGGGTGATGGGGGCCGAGGCTGTGTGTGAGCGTTTGCTTTACAAGGAGAAAATGTGTTTCCCTTCCCTTTCATTTCACTCCTAAAGCCAGTGGTGGAAGAGGAATTTGCTGTTCTCAGTTGATCTGCCTCTATCAGGGCTTCTCCTTTGTATGGCCGCACCCCCTGTGGATGAGGAAAAGGGGGAGCACAAGTGTTTAGCCTGTCAGAGCCAGTCCCCTGATTGTCCACAGCAAATGTCCTCTGTTAGAGAGGCAACTAGGTGGTACAGGAGGTTATGCAGACTAGCCATTCTAGAAGTGGCTGTCCCAGGGTGTGGCTGTGGCTGTGGGGAGGCAGGTGTGAGGGGATTCTGAGGAACCTGTCTCCAAAGCAGATCAGGGTATGGTGGTAACAAGGTGTGTTTTAGAATTTATTTTTATTAACCAAAAACCTACATTCTACCGTAGCTCATTATAACCAAGGCAGGGGCTTGATCAAAAACGCTCTCTTCTCTAACTTTCTAACCCAGGAGCACTTAAGGTACTACTGCTCACTGAACGTGGCTCATCAGCAGGTCGCGCGGAAAAGGGCTTGAGCCGAAAGCTGATTCCAGGTGCTGCTGCACAGAGAGGAGGAGTTGCCTTCCAAACACTCACACCCGTATCCATAAAACTCATTTTACTTATCACTGTGAGACCCTTGGAAGTTAAACGTTCATGTTCCTGGAACTAGAGTAGACCGATTTCCCGATTCTAAACAGGCTTTCGCAATGAGTCTTTTTCCTTATGGGCAGCTCTGCCATGTGCATAGTGAGGCTTCTAGACCAGACACATTTGAGATTGTATTATTTCGTTCTGTTGTGTTGTATTGTGTTGTTTGTGTTGTGTTCTGTCCTGTCCTGTTCTTTTCCTTTCTTATTTTTAGCAACACCGTGATAGTCAGAGTTAAGTTTTAAATGCTGACATCAATACTTGGGTCGAGTGGAAAATAACAATTGCAGCAACCCCTTTAAGCGCAGCTGCCTGTTACCTAGAATTTCTTCTCACAGAGGAAGCCATAGGCTGACCTTTATTTCACTGTTTTGGAGTGCAGTGAAGTTTCTCTGAGGTCAATTCATTTGCCCAAATAATTGCACAGCGGTGTTCTGCCTGCATTGTATCATGCTGATTTTAAGATAATCGTACTCAAATGTATTTTCCTGCTATTTTTTCCACAAGACTCCCTTGAATTCACTTAAAATCTTACTTTCTTTCGTGGAAAGCCTCTGCCTGTGGAGATACTTGTCTTATGCATACCCCTGTGTCTGGTTTTCTTTATACCCAGGCCTTCTGCCTTATCTAGTAGCCCGACCTATCCGGACCTGCCCTTCATTAGGATCTCCCCGCACCGGAACCCCGCTGCCGCTTCCGAGTCTCCCTTCAGCCCTCCGCATCCCTACATTAATCCCTACATGGACTATATCCGCTCCTTGCACAGCAGCCCTTCGCTCTCCATGATCTCAGCAACTCGTGGGCTGAGCCCTACAGACGGTAAGTCCAGGATGGATTCTGCTTCCTGAGGTCACGCAGTCTCCTACCCGCTCCTCACCCGGGGCGTGTATAAAGTAGACCTGATGTTTAGTGAGTGTTTCCCATTGGCCAGGCCTTTGTGCCTTACATGCATGATTGCATTACGGTGTTGTAATACCTCATTGGCGGTGGTGTTAATTATCTCCATTTTCAGGTCAGAATAGCAGTGTGCACTGGGATTTACTTGCAACCCAGTCATCCCATGGCTAGTAAGGGGCAGAGGTGGAATTCAAAGCAAAATCTTTCTGACCCCAAATCCCTGCTGGTAACTAGGGTTCTGTTCTGCTGCTTCACATATGATTAGACTGGCCCTGTAGCCATTCATGCACACGTATGTGTAATGTGAGTGTTTTACTCACTTTCTGATGAACACTTTTCTGTTCTGTGGGTCTGAAAGGCACATTTATACAGATGTGTCTGTTAGAGCAGTGCAACCCTAATGTGCCTATGAACCACCTGGGGAGCCTGATAAAAGGTGATTCTTTTTTCCCCATCAGATGGGGCTTGAGATTCTGTGCTTCTCAAAAGCTGCCAGGTGATGTTAGTGCTGTGGCTACCTGGACCACATTCTGAGTGGCAAGGCCTAAGAAAACATGATGGTCTGGGGCTGTTGCATGTGCCTTCTATCCTTGGCCATGCCACATGAGAACAGAAGAATGTACTGGGAAAGGAAATGAGCTTAGACTTTTTCATACTTGATGTTCATTTTAGGCTCTCAAGGATCAAATTCCTGTTGGTTCTATTAGTCTCCCTATTACTTTTCACATGACTCTTAATTGGATCTGTGTATTCTCCTGGTGCCAACTTATAAACTGGTCCTCTGATTCAGGAAAAGTATTTTCTGTCTCATGCACACATAGAAATTCACTGGCCCAGTAATCACTGGAATCTGAATCAAGGTCCAGAATTGCATCACCTATTAATTGCAGGTAGCAGGCTATGAATTCTTTGTAGGATATCAAAAGTCACCACTGCCTGTTCCGCTTCAGAGAAACACCAGGCATTTCATTTCACTGAGCAGTGCTTGATGCAACTTCCATGCCCGATTCACATTCTCCATGTAGCCTTCTTCCTGAGGCTGGTGTGCATGGTGGGAAGCTTGCGTGAAGTGTCTCAGGAAATATCCACTCACTTGGGTTTTCAGAAATAGCTTTCCTTCAGCAATAGCCACTTTTTTTTTTTTGATTCAGTGTAGTGAATTTACTAGTTAGTGATATGAGTAGCTAAAGAATAAGTTTTGCTCTTTGAGCAGGACTCACATTTTATTTTATTTTGAGACAGGGTCTCACTTTGTTCCCCAGGCTGGAATGCCATGGTGCAGTCTCAGCTCTCTGTAGCCTGGACCTCCTGGGTTCAAGTCATGTTCCTGTCTCAGCCCCCTAAGTAACTGGGACCACTGGTACACATCACCATGCCTGGCTAATTTTTAATATTTTTAGAAGAGACAGGGTTTTGCCATGTTGCCTATGTTGGTCTCAAACTCCTGAGCTCAAGCGATCTACCTGCCTCTATCTCCCAAAGTGCTAGGATTACAGGCATGAGCCACTTGCTCACATTTTAAAAGTAAAAACCAAATAGAAGTTAGATTTTCTGCTTCACATTTTATTTTGCAATTGAAGAACTGGAGAATCACCTCCATCAAGTACTTGGGAGTTGGTAGAAATGACTAACAAGGAGAATATACTGAAGGGGAGAGAGAGGTTAGCTGACCATGAACTTGGAATTTTGCCTGGCTTGTGGAAATTTACTCATGCCCATGGAAAGTCATACCACTAAACTAATGAAATCACTCTTATCGTCTGCTTTCCGTAGCATTTGATGATGAGTATAAATAAAACATTCTTTGACTGGTTGATTTGCCTTCCTTTTCTTGCCTCTCAAGAATCCACTTAATACAATCAAATAAAGTAACATGACTAATATTTCTCTTGTGGCGTAAGGTTTTTTTTTCCTTAAATCTCTATCTTTACCATGTCTCGTGGATAAAAAGTGTATGAAACAAATATAAAATACCCTCAGACGTATTGCTAGATGCTGGTGTTTCTAGATAATAACTGTGAGACTTTTACTGATTGAATGCTAAGTGCTGAGCATGTTACGTACATCATTTAACTTTTGCTCCTGACGACTTCATGGAGCCAGTTTAAATCCAGATCTCTGTGAGTCTGGAGGCCACCCTCAGAACTGCTATAATGTCTTGCCGCTTTTGCACGAAAATTGGCAGGTAGAAACTGATTATTATCCTGTTAGAAAGCTGAGTCTTGGCAGTAAATTGCTCCAGATTGATAGGTATATTTTCTTTTTGATTTTGTAATGAAAAAAAGGAAAAGAGAGCTTTTAAATTATGGAACGCAAAATTGTAGCTTATCATTCAGTTGTGTTATTAAAGCTCTGCTGTCTTTTTTCGTACTGGTAAACCCTGACTTTTCATGTGAGTGAGAGTTAACTCAGACACTCTTGTCAGAAAGCTTACAGAACTATTTTAAGTATGTCTGGAAAGATATCATAGTCATCTAAGTTGTCTACTCTTGTAAGAAATGCAAACATATAGCGATTTGATATAAGAAATGATTTTATTTGGGGCGGCTAATGTCGTTATATACATTTTAATCATTCTGATTTATTGACAATTTCTTAGACCAACATCAAAAACTTTGTAATGCATTTCACTTTTTTCTATTCTTTTCCTTCAGTTTTATCTTCAGATAAAAGATGTCTCTAATAGATGTAAGAGCACAATTTGAGTTAAAGGAGCTTTACTCTAATAAGCCATGAAAGGAATTGCTGATGTGGGTTGTGTGATGGACTCTGAGATGCCTCAAGAGAAACTTCTAGTTGACCTTCTTTCAATAGTAACCACAAATTTCTTGTCTCCTCCTAGCTCCCCATGCAGGAGTCAGCCCAGCAGAGTACTATCATCAGATGGCCCTGCTAACCGGCCAGCGCAGCCCCTATGCAGACATTATTCCCTCGGCTGCCACTGCCGGCACTGGGGCCATCCACATGGAATATCTTCACGCTATGGATAGTAAGTGACGGGGCTGTTTTCTAGAGTCTTGGGAAATGGGAAAGGCGACTACTTTATAAAACAGAGAAGAAGATACAAAGATTAGGTGATTGTGTAACTTTTCAATCTGGAGGAGAAAGTGGAACCACCACCATTTGGAGCTCTGGTTCCCTTGGTTTTCTAGAAGCCTCCACAGATTTAGACATCCTGGGACTCCTTGTTTAGCTCAAGCATACCAGTGAACTGGCAGATGCAGGTAATTGTAATTGACAGTGATATACAAATATTAACTGGTCAAAAAATACCAGCCCATGTGACACAGTGAGATTTATCTCTACAAAAAATTAAAAACTAGCTGGGTGTAGTGGCGTGTACCTGTAGTCCCTGCTACTCAGGAGGCTGAGGCAGAAGGATCACTTGAGCCCAAGAGGCCGATGCTGCAGTGAGCCATGGTCATGCCACTGCACTCCAGCCTAGGTGACAGAGTGAGACCCTGTCTCCCTTAACCAAAAAACTTTTTTCCTGCTGTGATTATCTTAATAAGAAAATAAGGGAAAGGATTTGATATATGGATGGACTTCACCCTCCCACTCCTTGGTTTCATGGATTTTATGCTTTAAAAATTAATTTTTAAAAATACCTATTTTGGTTTTACGTTTTTGCCTTAAATGATTTAGTTTGCCCCATAAGTTTTTTTTTACATTAAACAATTATATTTCACTAAGACCTTTTGTAGTTGCTGAATATATGAAAGGACCAGAATAGTTATCGACAGTTACCAAATAGCTTATTTGGAAAAAACTAAAACTGTTTTCCAAATCAGAAGGGGCTACTTTTAGTACCTAGCAATGGAATAAGATGAGATTACTTGATGCATGTTCTATCACTTATTTTGGGGTCCCTTAAGTGTGTAGTGATTTCTGTGGGTTACTTATGTAGACGCATAGACAAAGAAGCCTGTAATTAGCTCTTGTCAGAGCATTCCAGAGCTCTCATCTCTTCAGATCCTTTAAGGACACATCTGTTTGCAGGGCGCTCTGAAGTGAACCTAAAGCATCATCCAACTCATACAACAGCAGAAGCCACTACCTTTGAATAGGAGAACAATGTGACTTTAAGTAGGGCATTTTCTTGGAGTCTTGTTTGTTTTTCCTCGTAGCAGCGATTCACTTAGGCTTTTCCATCTACAATCTCTTTGGATTCTTCTGTGACAGAGGGTGAGCCTATGTCAACTCTAGTGATTCAGTCCTGAGGCTTGGAATAGAAAGACGGTGATTGTTTCACACAGGGGTAAACAATCTACAGCCTCAGTCTGCTCACCGCCCAGAACTACCTTTGTGTGTCTCATCGGAACACAAGAGTGTGTTGGTATCCACCAGGAAGCTCATTACCACATGGAAAGTAAAAGAAATGTGTTACATCTTCTGCAGGGGTTTTGTTGTTTGGCTTTGTAGCATAGAGAGCTTACGCTGCAGATTCAACATAACCACATTTCAATTAGCAATTGTTGAAAAAAAAGTTGCGTTATTATGCAAATCAGTTATTTAAAATCTGCAAATAAAGAATTAAAATAAGAGAGAATCCTTGGAAGGTCAGCCTACATTTCTTTCCCTATTTGATGAGAATGTGTTTAGTCAGGCAGTGGCGGTTTTTATCTAAATAAAGGATGAAGCTACCCTTTTACTTTGTAAAAACTAATTAAAGGAATTTTAATTTGCCTGAGTATATGGTAAATTGATTGTCATTAAGTAGGAATTTAGATGTCCTATCATTCATCACATAAAAATAAACCTCCTTTTTCTTTGCCAGAATTTCTTATTAGAATAGAGAAACAAAACAATTAACAAAAAGCCAGATCGGAGATATCTGTGTTAGAACAATAAGAATGCTCTGGCTTATATTTAAGAAGGAAGCTCTATGATCAGTGAAGAACTGGGCTACTTCTCTTTCGGCTATTTTGAAAATGCTTACCTTGTCTTTTAGCAGCTCCCTTCAACAGAGTATCCCAAATCACTATCCCCAAATGCTGAGTTTCTCTTCTTTTGCTTAGTTATTAAGGAGTTGGGAAGAACATATTAAAGGACTGGAAAGTTCTTAAGGCATTATATTCTTTTCTCCTAAAGCAATTGAAGTAGCACTTATTAATAGTTATTTAGTTAGAATATAAGATTACCCAGAAATTTCGACCATACAAAGAAGTGAAACACTAATCCTCAGTTCCTACAGTGGATGTCCATCTGCAGTGGTAGATCGAAACCTGGGATCTGTCTGGTCACTCTGATCCCTTGTTACAGATATTTAGGACTTCTTAATTAGCACAACCCTCAGTAAACTGGGTTCAGTGAGCACCTGACTTTTGATTGGTGGGTATATCTGGGTTTCAGCAAGATGTAGGGCAGAGTGTGTATATGTAGCTTGTTAGGATAAACTCATCTGTTTATGGTTCCAATTCTACCTCTCAGGGTTGGAGTGATCCTAAAAGATAGGATAGCAAGTACTCCCTCTAAGGAATGTTCTGGAGATGAGGGCCCCTGAAGACCACACTATTTATATTGGTGGAAACAAACTTAAATAAGAGCCAGTCTTCGAAGGAAAAACACAGAGAGGAAAGATTCTAGCCAGGCTGTGTAAGCAAGCCAGAGGGTTTCATGGAAGGGGTGAAATGGTCTTGAGAGGCCCCTCACCCTCTTTAGAGGTTGGGAGGGGGATATAAGGCTCTTGGTGTTTGAGAGCATCAAATGGGCTTCTTTGCATCACAATTAGTGATGTAAAAAGGTAGAGATTTTCTAGGGATGTGAAGGATGGCTAACAGGATGTCTAGCATGTGCTGTCAACTTCTAGCTGCCAGTGATCACTGAGTACCATTGAGAAGGGCAGTTGTTGTCCAGGATTATATGGAAGTTGACAATAAATCTGGTTTGTCCTTGGAGTTACTGCAAGTGACATATATTTCTTCACTGAAAAACTTCCATGATGGAATTAGCCTCTCATGGTGAGTAAATGCGAAGGGGTTGTGGGAAAGTTTAAGGCAGATGCCATTATAAAAGTAAGATGCTGATTTAAATGCCTAAAAATATGCACATAGTTGGGATTGCTATTTTGTACTAACATTCCCTCAATCAGGCTATTCTAAATGAAGGAACCCATTTTAGATGTGCCTGAAAGAAAAATTTGAGCAGGTACCACCTTCATCATTCAAGTTGGTTTTTAAGTTTTATGTGTGGATAGCACTAACTTACTAAATTACAGCTTGTGGATTTTTTAAATTAAATTTTATTTAATTAATTATTTAATTAGTTATGTCCCATTTTATTAAATTATTTCTAAGCATGTCTGATTGTTATCTTCTGTCAAGAACCATCTCTATTGAAAAAAATATTCCTAAAGAATTTTCTGGAGACCAAGAGCCTGGACATTTTTTTTAATTAAGAAAGATTACCTAATACTTCAGTTTTTCTGGGTACTATAAAATTGCCATGTTCCTATAAACTGGTATACTCATTCTATGAGATGTTAGAAACCCTTCATTTTACTTAAAACTACTTATGTTTGGTTTGCCTCTTACCTGGTGGGATCAGACTCTCATTCTTTCATTAAACTTCAGTTTGATGACTCTGTAATATAAATGTGACCTTCAAAAAGGCAGAGTGGACCTGTGGGCCACATTCATCTCTTTGTCTTGAGATTCAGATCTCTAATATCTACCAAATTTGAATGCAAATTGGCATTTAATCTTGAACTCTTCGGGAAGAAACCATCGTATTAAGTTAGGATACGTTTAAGTTTGAGTTACTCACCTCCAGATTCAGACTCCAGATTAAGACTTCATCATTGGAATCTTCTTGAAGGTTAAAAATTCTAATAAATGTGTTACCCTTTATTGAGTCAGACTGGAGAAGCAAGGTCCAGAGAAGAATTAAAATGCCCTATTGGCTCATTGTACCTCATTATGCTCGAAAGGGTTTCTCCTTCATCTTGGAAAATCTGTAAATGAGCAACATCCCCAGCTTTTAAATGTTCCTTGGGATTTATCCTCTTAGATAATGGGGAATGTAGGGCGGAAGTCCTCAACCTCGGTGATATTTGGGCCAGATAATTCTTTATTGTGGGGAGAGTGACCCTGCTACATTATAGGGTGTTCTGTAGCATCCCCAGACTCTACCCTCTAGATTCCAATAGCACCCCTGAGTCCTGAAAACTACAAAGTCTCCAGATGTTGTCAGATGTCCCTTGGGGGGCAAAATAGCTCTCACCTGAGAACCACTGATTCAGGGTGATTATTTAGAAGTTTTTTTAGTAATACTTTAAGTATACCGTGGAGCAGGTAACTCTCGAAATCACTGGGTGCTGAGGGCATAACTGAGCTGAATTTTTAATCTTAGGATACTTTAATTTGTTTTTTTTCTTTGGCTCATGGTGTGTGTTGGGGTGGGGAGGGTGGTGTGTTGCAACTGTGGGCAACCACTGTCTTTGTCGCTTGTGGTGAATTAATGATGGGACTATCTAAGCAGCCATCAGATTCATAAATCACTGGAAATGAAAGGGATAACACATAAAAGTCTCTCCCTTTTGTTTAGCAATTTATCATTTTGCTTGCACATTAATAAACAGCGCTCCCCCGAGGTAAGCCCCTGGAAGATAAATATTTCTCCCTAATTTCCTCAATTGTAGCTAGTAGATCACATGGGGGAGGAGAGGTGCTTGTCACCACAAGTTTGCCAGTTTCTTATCCTTCACTTCTTCCACGTAGGCAAGTAGCAATAAATAACCGGTATAGAGACCAACTGCAGGTAATTAGGTTCTGTTTTGTTTATATAACAGGCACCAGATTCCCCAGCCCCAGGCTGTCAGCCAGGCCGAGCCGAAAACGTACACTGTCCATATCACCGCTGTCCGATCATAGCTTTGACCTTCAGACCATGATAAGGACGTCTCCCAACTCCTTGGTCACGATTCTCAATAATTCCCGTAGCAGCTCTTCAGCAAGTGGCTCCTATGGTCACTTATCTGCAAGTGCAATCAGGTATGTATTTTCCTGAATCCATTATGGGTTTTTTAAACGTAATGTCAGCCCTTGTCTGCACCTGTAGTGATGCATTTTCAGGACTGACTGCCTATGAGGAAGAGTAAAACCACGTGAAGCTGTGCATATAGCAAGAGACAGGTCAGATATCACAATGAATCGCAAAACCAATATTGGGCCTCAGATTATTTTCTATTTGCAGAGGTTAGTTAATAGCCCATATATAAAAACAGCAGTTATTCAGTTATGATGAAATCCACTTCGTAGAGATAGTGAGTATGGCAAATCTTTTTATACAGACTTTTCCTTCTAATAATGTTCTCGAGAGAAAAACTGACTTCATACCTGGTTGTATGACACATGTACAGAACACGAACAGAATAAAAAGAGCAGTCATGGCACAAGTCTTGTCCTACAGCTCTTAAGAGAAAAGAGTCCCTTGGGAGGGAGAGGGGAACAGCAGGGCTTTTTGTCTGATGGAAAATAAGTGCCGATGACTTGGAGGGCGTAGTTATCAGAGGAAATCTGGCAAAAGAATATTTCCTTGTTTTTCTGTTAAGTACTTTTAGCTTAATATGAAAGATCCCTATTTTGTCCATACATACCTTTGTTAACCATGGATCGTTCCTTGCTTGATGGAAAGTGTTTTGACACTTCCTTGCATGAAGTATGTCACATCTGTTCTTACATGTGAAGGTACAAGCACAGACTCTTGTAAACATGATGAACATAAAACATTTCTCACTGCTAGTGATCAGCTTGGACTGATGTCAATAAGTAGGAAATACAAGTAAGTTAACATACAAATTTCAGCTGATCATTTATTGTTTGAACTAAGCCAGCTCACAAATGGTTATTTGAGACATAGAATTAGCAAGTGCAATCAGGTATGTATTTTCCTGAATCCATTATGTGTTTTAATTGACTCTGATCAATTAATTTAGCAATCCTGGTTATAAACTTTAGCTCTCATTTTCCCTAAATTTTTTGCTACTAATTCAAGGATTCAGTTGGTAGCAATCTTTTCGAATTGTTGTTTTATTAACCGTGAATAATTCCTTGCTTGAAAAGTACATACTAACGAATATTTTCACTAGCCTTGGTTTTAATAAGTGAGGTTTTGTTGGCTTCTATGAGTGGGCAGTAGATTTAGTTGTTCATTGTTGGGTCTTTCATGGTAGATATACATGTTAGGGAAACCTCATCAGTTCAGAAAAAGAACTGTTTGCAGTAGCAAAATACCCACATGTACTAAAAATAATGAATCCCCCCGTCTTTCCCTAATGTTCTCCATTACAGTTTTATTTCTTTTCTTATTCAGTTATCAGCAGTGTTCTTCGGTAGACAAGTTAATATTTAAATGTGGTAAATCCTAATTTTAAATGATGTCATTTTCTGCTGCTTTTCTTTGTTCATGTGGTCACTTAAGTGTGGAAACATGGAGAGCTACAAGCAACTGTGCTCACATGAGAGCAGTCGGTGCATGGGGAGGGCTCCTGGGACATTTTCCAGATTAGCCACTGCAGTCACAAATAAAGGCGTTAGAGTTGAATATGTCTATGGTCAGATTCCAGCTTTGCCACCAACCAGCTATGCAAACCTAACTTACCCATCAGCTCTTTGAAGTTTAGTCTTTACATTTGTGAACTGCAGATAAGACCCTCTCTGTATAAGAAGGCACATTTTACAAAAGCTGGTATGGATCTGCAATGGCAGGATGAGATTCCTACCTGAGGTGACGTTTCTGGGGGAGCTGAGCTGGGATGGTTCATCCAGGAGAGGAGCCATCACAGACCTGTCTGTGCCACCCTGTTCTCCATCCCAGTCTGGCCCCATGGAAGCATGCCAGTCTCAGAACCCTGGCCTGTCTGTGCCTGCATTCCTGGCAGATATTCCCAGGTCATGGACTAACATGGACTGGAGGTTACTTTAAGGCAATTATGCAATTGTTACGTGGCATGACTAGAAGTCATAGCATCCAAGTAGCAGAGATGTGGCATACAGTGATATTCACAAAAACAACACACAAAATCACTTCATGAACATTCATTTCTCTGGTTTCTATACTTTTTCTTGCCTCTTGCTCTCTGCCCAGCTCTCGACTTTTTACAGCATCTAAAGGACATAGATTATAATATGGTGCAGAAATGGTCACGATGCTCTCTTGATTTATTCTTACCCCAGCGTCCTGTCCTTAGTCCTTACAGACTTCCTGGTGTCCTCATCTTCACCCGGGTAAGCTAGTGTCAGTCCTTATGAGACTGTCAGTCTGCTGGCTTGAAATCATCACTGCCCGTCTTGTCTCCAGGGAGCTCTATCATACCTCTTTATATCATTAGAGATGAAAGAAGAGATTCACTTAAAGACCAGTCAGGTCCTTTGAGGCTGTTACAGTTAGGTGAAAGAAAATGGGCCCATTGTGTCCTCATTTTCTTTCTTGCCTTGAGACTTTCGATTGTATCTTTCCTGTCCCAGTACAGTCTCTCCCTCTTTAGTACGCATTTGCTATATTTTAGGACAATATGTCTTTTCTCACACATAGCAGGTAATGCAGACTACCCAAGATGAGATCGGCTTCTCAACTAATGATTATAATCATTGTTATCATTGGCACCACTTGCCAGTTCTTTAGCTAAAGGAATGCTAGTGCCTTGCTTACACTGGCTCTAAGTTTCATTTTGTGAGATCAAAAACTGACTTCAGGAATAATCAGTTAGGGGTAGCACCAGAGTAGGACAGGGCAAGGCAAGGAAACAAGGAGACATCTGGGAAAGGTAGCTAGCTTTCTCAATAGTGAAAGGTATGAGAGAGAAAGTGGACTTCAGGTGTGTTTAGTCTCTGCGACCTGCTGAGTCACAGGGTAGGTGCAAGGCTCAGGTTCACTCACCATTCTCACATCACAGCTCTTTGGCAAAGCAAGTGGTGCTATTCTTTTTTCTTTTTTTTGAGACAGAGTTTTACTCTCTTTCCCATGCTAGAAGTGGCATGATCTTGGTTCACGCAACCTGCCCCAGCTGCCAGGTTCAGGTGATTCTCCTATCTCAGCCTCTCGAGTAGCTGGGATTATAGGGGCTTACCACCACGCCCAGCTAATTTTTGTATTCTTAGTAGAGACAGGGTTTCCCCATGTTGGCCAGGGTGTTCTCAAACTCCTGACCTCAGGCGATCCACCCACCTGGGCCTCCCAAAGTGCTGGGATTACAGGCGTGAGCCACCGCGCCCAGCCTTATTATTATCATCTTACCCCTCAGCCCAGTGGGTCTTTGCAAGGTGAAGTTAGCAAAGTTCCGTGCCTAGTGGGCACCGATGCTAGCACTCCAGTTTCCTGCTTGTTAATTTAAACACACTTGACTTTTACACTTACATGTTTTCTGATACCTAATTTGCTGTTGGTATTGGCAGTGCATCAGTAATTGTGTTTACATTGCTAAACGTGCTATTAAATGTTTAAAGATACTCATTCAGTATCGGAAATGCTCTTGCTGTCTCCTTCACATCGATGCTCTGGTGCAAATGCTGTTGTCAGAGATGCCTGTCATAGCATTTACCACTATTTGATATGTCCTTTAGTAGGCTACTATTCATTTCTCTCCAATAGCACAGAAGCACCAAAGAGCAAATGTCTGTGTACCTCTTGTCCCCACCCCTGTGACACCTGCATTCTCTCATATTGACACCATTCAGTAAATAGTTATTGAGCGAATACATTAAGGAGCTCTCCCAAGAGTAATCAGAATTCTCATCATTCCCTTGTTTAAGTAAGTTTCTACATGGTAGATAAATAATTCTGGTTTTCTGAAAGTTGCAATCTATATGAGTGTTATGTTATTACCTGGCTGTAGACTGATAGATACAGAGACAGAGGGGTGGATACAAAATGAAGGATTAAAAAAGCAAATGCCTATTTTAAGTTTGTGTGTGGTTTTTGTGTTTATATGTTTACTTAATAATCCAGAGTACTATAAAAATATCGTATAAACTAATACCAATTCACAAAAGCCCATTGGCATATTATAAAAGTACTTGGTTATGTCAGATTTTTTAAAATGCATTGTCTAGACATACATGACAAGTCTTTTTAAATCTCATAATTTAAATAGCTTTCAAAAATAACTCCATGCACACTGCAAAGTATGTTATAAAGTATTTTTTGTTTCAAGAAGTTGCGGGTTCTCTATCACCCAGAAGACTCCCATGTAAGACGAGATAATTTATATTTATCAAATACAGCCTTAACTCTACATAGTTAAGACTAATGTTGTAAATAGCCAATGAATCACAGTAGATTAAAATAGATTACCTTTGCTAAAACCTCTTCCTTAAGAAATTGAGCCACCACTGGAAGAGAAGGTGTTTTAAGTGACCCCCATCTTCTGTCGTCTTCCGGCAAATGTAAATGGTATGAAGAAATGAGTACCTCACTCATTTCTAACCCACTGGGTATCACTCTCACTTTCTATCGAATGGCTATATTGAAAGTGGTTTATATTCTTAGTAGTTTTAAGTCTGGTGTGACCAGGAAAGAGATCTCAGTGAAAATGACATTCCCATGTTGCACATCACCCCACTGAGTGCCAAGATTGCCAGCTTCACAAGACTGTGCAGGGTTTTTCTGCTGCCAACACCGATGAGCTCAGCCGGATGACCAGAAGGCAAGTTGTGCTTTCTGTTTTGTTTGTCATCAGCCCTCTCCGACAATAGGACCCTGGAGTAACGGTGCATCTGGCAGGTCCACTGACGCCGCCGGAGGCAGGGTTAGGAGTCAGCTCGGCCTCCATAGCTCCTTGGCTCTGTGCTTTGTAAACACCTTGCTTAGGTTCAAGAAATAACACACCAATGAACTGAGAAACATACTGAAGAACAGATGAATATGGTGCCAAATTACTGATATCTTGAAAATTCTCATTCCATCTTCTAAAACTTAGGAGATGATATCCCCTTCCCCCATTTTCAGTAAAATAATTAATACTACATTAAAACGATAGCTCTCATTTACTTCC